TCATCCGCCCACAGGAAGTTTCTTAAACAAGCTCTTCAAACCCTCCGCTCCCTTCCTGTCTTTAATTCATTCACAACACCACTCTCTCGTTTTGTCATTCACAGCAGAGCAAAGCCACAGTTCTACTTGATAGGCTTAAGGCCCAACACCATTATATATCCCCACCTGATTAGGACGAGGCAGACAATCACATGACACAACCAGACATTAGGTGTCCACAGATAAGCAAAGCTTGGGCCAAGTAGTAAAATGCAATAGATGTTTTAATGATCTGGTTATTGAACATCTACTCTATCTGAGGACTCATTACAACTGATGCTATTTAAAGAATCTGATATGCAAATTCTAACAGAGTGTGTTGTCAATGATTTAATGACCCACTTCCATTTCGTCACACAATATTTATGACCTTGAAATGCTTTCCGCTGCCATCTCGGATATCGACAGCCTGACATTGCAGATATAAACAAACACATGACTGATTCTAATCTAAAGCAGGGTGAAAATAAAGGGTATGAATCCTTTACCGTCTGAAAAAGATTGCACGAATGCAGAACTTTGAACACAAAGAGAAAATCTTCATATAACCTTTATTAGAGGTTTTCAAGAGTTAAGTACAAAGCGCTCTCTCTTTTTGCTAGTCTGTAGTTTATAGTGACATAAGTAAGAAAAAAAATAAGTTATCTGGTGAATTAGTGACAATGAAAGTTGGCACATTAATTACCAGTCTTTTATTCATTACCTCTTTTTAAGACAGATTTACCCTGATGAAGGTGTTCCTGTAGTTTATATACCAAGGCTGTCTGTGTTTTTGAAACAGAAAAAAAAAAAAAAAAAAAAAAAATCAAAAAAGTCAAATTTATCTTTCCTGAAATTAGAGAACATTTTCTGGCTTCTTCACAGGCATTATTCAAAGGCAGCTCTGAGCTCCCAAATGCTTCGTGCAGCCAGATTAAAAATCTGATTACATAATTTTTTCCCTGTGTTATCTCATTAAAAGGAGATATTAAACAGAATATTAGCTCTTCTGTCTTAATTTGTGCAGGGAATGTGGAGAAATTGATAAGGTGAAGATTGTATGTTGGTGCATTTGTTTCTACTTAAGTTGTCTTATCATTTTAGAGTTTCTGAAATCACCTCAGACCACCATGGAAATGAATTCATTCACTCAAAATGTAAACTCACTGACCTGTTCCTCATCATTTCCCTGGCCTTCATGTGATGCTCAAGTAGTTTTAGGTTTTAAATTCCAAAAACTACCCGCCAAGTAGCTTTTTGTGATAAAAATTGAGAAAGGTATGTGAAGAGACACTTTGCTGTCATTTCTGACAGTGACCTTCTTCTGAGACACTGATGCTCAGGACAGCTGGGCTTGTGATGCTGCCCCCACAGGAGACATATGGGTAACGTGTCACATCAAGGTCAAGAGTAACGCCTTTGTATTTTTTGCTTCATTTATTGAGGACATCGCCTGCACTCAAGTATACAATTATAATCGAGACGCAACGACCAGGCTTTTTCTGGTTAAATTTATTTTTCTTGTTTGTTCTGCTGGCTTGGTAGGTTCATTTTAGATGTGACCTGTTAATCTGGATGCAGATTCATTCTGATTGTTTAAGGACAACATAACAGAAATGACAAAATTGTGCTATAGGTCCTTTGATAGGGGTGGCAGTCTTAAATCCAACATGTCCCTAACCTTTACCGGATCGATATGCAACTCATTCAAAATATTGGAATTTCTCATATCTGATGCATTTAATGAAAAGGAAAATCCTATTTTTCAATACCTGAATAACTGATCACCGACTACAGCTTATCTCTGGCCGATCGGTTGTCACTGATAGGGAGTAACACCTTATTTTTCAAGGACAGAGAGTAAAAACTCCACTAAGATAAGAGGAGGATTGCAATTTGCAGTTAACAAATAAACCTCATGGCTATAAAAATCCTGGCACTTCTGCATTGACGTTTCATTTACTCTAGAGCCTTACATAAGCCAGTACAAAATCTCCAACGTGGTTGTTTATTTCTAGAAACAAACGCCACTATTAATTATTGCCCAGCTGATTGCATGATCACAATCATAATAAAGAGCTTCATGCTAAAGGCAGGGAAGCACAGACGCCTACTGGTGTTGATCAACGTATGGAAACAGCAAAAGTGAAAATATGTCAAAGGTAGTCGGTTTGCTAGTACTTTAAATGTCTACAGATCTCATTTCAATTATCTACATTTTCCGCTGAGCGCTAAAGCAACATGATGGAAAATTCAAGCCACTACAAGAATTCACAGAGAGAATTTTGGTAATACAGACCAAAAGGAGGCTGATTGAAAGTAAACAAAATAAGTATGGTTATTTTGGTGATGAGGGCTCGGCCATACGGGTTGTTTACAGTAAACAGAGAAACATTATCGCGCTTCGCTTGGTCATGTTTACGAATTCTGCTTGCTTGCACCTACAGTAGATGGCAACAGTAAAGTAAAGCGGAATACACATAAAGAGAAATTAAGCAAATTACCCTTGCTTCCTAGCCAATCGTGTGCACAAGCTTGACTCCCTGTTATGCAAAGACGGTGACAGCAAGAAAAGCTGCAGCCGCATGGGGCACGGTTTGCTCCGCTAATGTGGAGGTGAGGGTTAAGTTTGGGGAGAAAGCTTCTAACGTTAGCCCCCCTGACTACTTAATCAGGCAGCCAAATACACTGTGATGTTACAGGAAAAAAAAATACAGGGAAATACAACGAGCCTATAATGTCTGAAAATACCGACAAACCCTCCCCGTTCCCTGTAACGGACACAGAAGCTGCCATGGCTAGCTACAAGTTAGCACATAAAAAACCTACGTTAGTTGAATAATTCGGAGTCACTAAAAATAGTTATCCTTCTCGTTTTGCTGCCATTGCGTAGCGGAGAAGAGACGTACTTGCCGTTTTTTCCGTGTAAGGCAGCACTCATACAGTTTCACAGATCCATTCCCAGTCAAGTGTCATAGCAGGGCGATGTGGAACCAGCTGGGTGGTGGGGGACGAACGGACGGTCGGAGTCAGCCGGAGAACTTGCTCCGTTTCAACATGGAGAGCGCAGAACGGGCTCGACATTCTAGTTGCTGCGGTTGCCCTGGCTGCTGCTAGGCAATGAGCTCTGGCGACACCTGTGGTCACAAATAGGTACTACATATACTGCAAGGGCTCCACAATGCCTTCCGCACGTTCTTTCCGTCACGTTACAACCATACGTTGTGAAGCACTTTTATGAACAAAAAGGTACAATTATGAGAGAGGAAAAAAAGATACATTGGGAAAAGTGTCACATTTGAATTCAGCAAAGTCTTTTGGGTTATGTTTCTACAAGCTATGCACTTTAAGACACTGAAATAGCTTCGAAAATAGCTCAGTATCACTCAGTCTGAAACTGAGAGCAGATAACAGCAATTTTTTATTCTTGGTTAAAAATTCTTGAGAGTTACTTTTGAAGTTTGATTGAGATTGTAACACAAAAGTAGTATATTTTGATCCAACCCATTTTTGTTATGATTGTGGCTGTATATGTCCTGGTGAAAGGCAAATGGTTAAAGTCATTTGCATCCGCTTTCAGGACTTGCCCTGTATTTAGCTCCATTCATCTTTCAGTCAAATCTAACCAGTTTGGTTGAACGTGTAGAAAGTACACACACACACACACACACACACACACACACACACACACAAAACATGTTTTATGCATGTTTTATGCATGTTCTATATAACTTACGGCACACTGCATAATGGCAAGACTTCAGGAGTGCACAACCAAAAATTATCCTGTCTATAGATTTTCCCATCTTAGCAATGGAGTTCTTCATTAAATATTTTTTCTTTTTAACAATTTGTTACAACTGCAGGCCAAGCGAAAGGCAGGGTTTTCTTTTTTCTTTCTTTTTTTGTGACAATGTGCTGTTAAGTGAAATAAAATTACTGGTTTATTTTATAGACTGATTTTGATTGCAATCCCAATGGAATATCTGTACTCTTAGAATGGTAATCTCACCAGCCTAAATTGTATTTCTTTTACTTGAAAACCACAGAAGAAAAAGGAAAAACAGAAAGAGCCATCCAAATGTCAAATCTATTTTTAAGTCCAACTTGTGAATGTGAGAGACATCAAACAAGCCTGACGTGGTGAAGAGAGGGAGATCAATGGGGAAAACAGGGAGGGGCTCCTTGAAGCCCTACATTCTGGCAGAATGTTATGTTACCACCACCTAGATACCTCAGAGTAGTTAAATATAAAGTACACAAGCGCTACAGGTCTTTGCTTGTTCAGGGCTGTAAATGTTTCAGGTCTGTGTGAAATGCTGTTTGCCCAGAGAGAAAAGAAAGTGTTTCTGTCTGCATAGGGTGCAGATACCTACCTGAAATGTGAAAGCTTATTGTTGCAGAGATGTGCAGGACCATCCTCCCTTGCAAGGGGAATAATTTTGCTCATATGTGTTTCCTTATGATTAATTAAATTCAAAATATAGAGAAATGTAGAAATATATAGTGCAGAAATCACTTGATTTATTAGTGGGTTGCAAAATTGATAGTCATAAAAATATCCTAAGTTCTGAGATTATTGTGGAGCATTGTACAATCACCCAAAAAAGAAAGGATTATGGCACAACTGAAAATTTACCAACACGTGGCATTACACCTAAACTGACAACGAGAACATTTAACAGGTAGCAGCTGAGACGCCTGTGGTAACTCTGGAGGAGGAATATGTGGAGGGGAATATGTTGACATGGTAAATATTAAAAGTGTATATTTAATATTTATAACATTATAACTGTATAAATGTAACATTTTTGGATGAATTTGTTTTTATTTTATCAAACACATTTGAAAACTTTCTATTTTTCCATCCACTTCAGAACTATGCACTACTTGTTGTAACTTTGTGACATAAAGTTAAAAACAAAATTCATAAATTATAGTGACTGAAATGAAATATGTAGAAAAATCAACACCAAAACACATTTTTAGCAAGACAGTTTAGCTTTATTGGCATTGAAGCAAATGGATTCTAATAAAGAGTAGATTGTTGCCACAATGTTGCAACATCTTTAATCCCATTTAAGTTTACATATTTAAGAAATGCATATCTTCAGCTCATTTTACATAGTTGCGTTGAACCAGCAAGCATCTCATGAAGCATTTTAAAATATCCTAAAAAATTTTTTTATTATTTCATATTCCTATTTGTCATTAAAACATAAGTGCTATAAATCAAACTGTGGAAAAAAAAAAAAAGAAACGTACCAAGCTAATTGAAAATTCTGCTGTTTGGAAGATTGACAAAAATATCTACATTTTTGCTTCCACAGTGACTTTTAATACAGAGGAAGTGACCATAACTGGATAACAGATGTCACAGGAAGTGAAATAACATGTTTTTTTTTCTTCTACAGCATAGGAAAGAGCAAAAAAGACCATTGAAATAATGTCTTAATTAATAATACAAACTGGTGCATTATATAAATTTTAACACAAATACAGCCAGTAAAAATGCTCTTCTTGAAAGAAGTTCCTGAGATGAAATGAGGAATAAGATAGATATTCCATTTCAAGAACCACTGGCCAGAATTGAACATAAACTACTTGAAAAGAAACACATCTAATGTTTAAAGTGGACAGTGTGGGACAAATGCATAAATGCATCCAGTGCATTCGTCACATTGCAGTGCATATAAATAATAATAATAAAAGAGAGACCAAAACAAATAAACTCCTTCATTGAATCACATTGCACAGTTCATATAGGCTTACAGTTAGTCAGGCAAGGAGAGAATAACTTAAAGTTCCTTTAAAATATCACATTATCCCTGTTTAATAACTAGAAAACTAAAATAAGACAAGTGTGCCCTCTACTGGTGTAAACGCACGAATGCTGTTTGTAAGGCACATACGACCAGCCTTTGTTTTGTACAGTTCGATTTAAAAGTGTATTTAAAAATACCAAAACAGTATACAATAAAACTACCTGAGCAAAAATAAAAAGCAGAGAGTCATATACGGTAGAAAGCAATTTTATAATAATTGTGCAGTGCAAAGAATATGCAGGTATGAGAATTTAAGGCAGAAGCATAAAAAATGCCGTTTCCTCTATTTTTTAAACAAATAAATATAAAAAAGAGGAGTAAACCATTAAAGGTTGATGTTTCTAACAAACGTATTCCCTTTAAACTTGTTTGCTCAGTTATTTCTCACCCAAAAAGAGAGGGAGAGATGTAAGGAAATGAAAAAGCAGACTAATATCCCCTTTTGGGTTCTACGTTTTCATAAATTGTGATGGCAGCTGTGTTCTGGTAGATTAGATCCACATTGTTCCCTGTTCTCGCCCGGATGATGTCCAAGGCACACTGGTTTAGGAAGACATACTGGTCCTGCAGCAATAGAACAAAAATAAAAACCAGAAAGTGTTTGCGATGTGAAACACTGTAAAAAAAAAACAAAACAAAACAAAGCAGACTAGATGTGTGGTCTTCCTACCTCCGTCTGCACCATGAGGGGCCGGTGCATTCGCAGATCATGAACAATGCCGTACACATCTACAATGTTTTCCCTTTCGATCTGGAAGATCAAGCGATCAATGGCTATGAAGGTGCCTGTGCGCCCGACTCCAGCACTGAGCGCAAATATCAAAAACAGAAAGGCGGAAAACGACAGGAGACGACAGGTTATTTTGTACACTTCCAACCAAATGAAAACATTTGTAAAGTTGTCGGGGTGCTGTGTCCAACCTGCAGTGAACCACTGTGGGGGAGTTTCTGGAATACTGGTTCATGTGCTCTCTGACCAGATGTCTGAAGCTGATCAGAAGCTCTGTGGTTTCTGGAACGCCGTGATCCGGCCAGGCTGTGAAATGGAAGTGGCGGACTGAGCGGACTTCCGTTGTTTTCACCTGAGGTAGAAGGAGGTCAGCGATGAAGCAGCAGTTACAGGAAAATGAACAATAAAGACAGGGCACATCAAAAACCCTCGACTCAGAACTCAGAATGACAAATCGTCTGCAAAGCACACTTTATGCATACCTTTTGTTGCATAGTGTTAGTAAAACAACCATGTGATTACTGGGATTCTGTGAGTTTGTGTGTGTGTGTGCTTCAACATAAAGTTACATTTTTTATGTCAAAATCCCTGATGGTCCAGTCTTCAAGTTGGATTTCAGAGGTTGTTGTCACAATGATGTCTTCATAGTATTTGGTGCCAGGACCCCAGTACTGCTCACATTTAACCTGAAAAATAGTTCATTTGCTTTCAGTTTTTGTCTTATTCAGAAACTTTGATATTTGTTATAATTTATTTCAGCTGATTTTTGTGTCATTTTTATTTCACAGATGTCCCTGGACTTGTACATGCTGCATTTAGATACTCTTACTTTGATAAACACACACTGTGAAGCAAAAATATTCCTGTTCTGCTGCAACAGTTTAAAAAAAAAAAAATGCTTATTCATATTTATTTAGATTCATCCTTAATTAAGAATGGAAAACTGAAGTGTGAAAAAATATAGATTTTTAACTCTGGTTGTTATTCAAGTTAATTCATGTTGACTGATTTTCAACCAGTTTCTGTACCAAAGAGTTGCAAAGGTAGAAACATGTTTTGTACATACGTGCAATTTTAAATTGACTTTTCTTATCACTATATATACAAAAAAGACCAGGGTGTATTTCCTAATTTATTGCGAGGGAATGCAATACTTTTGCAAGGTAACGCAAGAGAAAAAAAAAAAAAATCCCCATGCCCTCCTAGGGGGCTCCATGTGCTTTCAATAAAGCTTTTGTCTCTGTAAAAACTTTCTGACTGCATCGATGAACCCACTGCTCATGGATCAGGAACAGGTACGACACAAAGTATTTCTTTATGTTCATACTCACTCTTCCTTGTTCATTACAGCGTGTTAGCATGACCAGAGTCTGGACGTTCTTCTCCCAGACCATCCTCCAGAACTCGTTGACTGTTGCAGGTAAAGGTCCCTGAGCTGCGATGAACTCTTTCCTGGAAAGGTAACCCTAATGTGCAAAAAACAAACAAACAAACAAACAAAAACAAAAAAACTCAGTATAAAGCATCCATAAAGTTAAGTTTTCACAAAGATTCTCAAATGGGAAATGAGTGTAGATTTCGTTCAAAGCGAACCAGAGAAACAAATGAAGTGAGTTATAGTGTGATCATAAGATGCTTTAAAGTGAAATGACCAAAAGCAAATAATGTCGGTACGCACCGGCATGTAGTTAGCATTGATGTAATCTTCATTTGGACTTCCGTGGACAACAGAGAGTTTCACTCTGGAGGAGTCATCTAGGAGATGAATAAGTATGTAAATGAAGTATGAATGATTCATTTATGAATTAAAATTAAAGTGTTAGATGGTAAAAACGCTCATTGCAAGCAGAAGCAGTGGGGCGTTCCATGTGTTACAGCTAACATGTTATGGTTTGAAGAATGAGGGTTAGCTTTTTGAATAACAAAGGAAAATTTAAGGTGACTTACAAGGAAGCACGTTGTTGTAGCGATTTTTAGGCTTGTTCTCCAGAGCCAGCGCATGCAGTTTGGCTTGAGCGGTACCAACAGGCTTCAGGTCCTTTAAAACACAGTTTGGTAGATTAACTTGTGGGTACAGAAGAAATAAATAAAAAAAACAACAGATACTTTTGTACTTTTAAAATTATAAACTGCTTCATATGTGTGACTTTATTAAGTCACACATATGAAGTTTGTGTGACTTCATAAAGTCACACAAACTTCCAGTGTCCAGTGTCAAATGTATTTATAGACAAGTATTAATGGAAAACATGCAGATTATTGATCTATTCTTGCACAACAATTTTACATTAACTTGAGTGAGTTGAAAACACTTCATTCTTCTCTTATTTATTCCTACAACTCGCGTGTTTTGCTGTCTTTGATGCATGTTCCACTGTTTTTCATCAATCTGGGCCATGCACAAATGTTGTATCTTATATTTAAAAGCATAACTGCACAAATCAGAATAGTTGTCCCAGAATAGATTTAATGGCAAAAAGTGTACTAAAATGAAAAAATAAGGCAGAAACCAGGACATTATCAGCTCCACGCAAACAGTTTTCCCAGAATCAGTGATGTTCTCTTGTCAGTCTGTGCAGCAGGTGAGACGTCGTGTTGGACTTTGTTCAGTCTGTCTGTCTGTGTATAGTGTGTGTGGATTAAGGTAATTTAGAAACATTCAGAACTGTAAAAATATAACATAATGATTTACACATTTTGGTGAGAAATAAAATACACTTTTCCTGATGTTGAGGAACTGTCAGGTAGCAGTACACTGAGAGAAACTTACAGATTAGGAATGCCTAAACATGTTTGTGAAGCTTCACCTCAAATTCTTCAGCGAAGCCACAGCTGGAGTCAGCTTTCTGCTTCCTGTAGTAAGCTTCAAAGTCCTCCACTCTCACGGCCACACTTCTGCTCATATATGCAACATTGTTTAGAGGGGAGAATAAGTATTCTCCAGAAAGGAGCGTTATGTACAAATGTATTAATTTGTATTAATGTATTAATTAATGTCTTATACTTACACTTTCCCCCTAAGAAAAAAAAAGTAATAATTACATAAACAATTGTGGACTTTGAGTTTGAAATAATAATCATTTAGCAAAATCTTAAATACTCACCCCATTGCCTGAATCTGGATGTCGGGAGACTCCTTACGGGATAACCTGCAGTTTTCAATAGATGAATAACACTGAGCATCTGATTCGATAACATTGTTTTATTTTCATCGGTACGAAGAATAAAAACCTTCTCCAATAGATGATGAAACCAATAAGGATGACCAAGAGAACTCCAAAGATTCCCAACGTTGCTCCAATAGTAATAGAGATGAAAACTGCAATTTTATAAAACCAAAGTTTACAGAGTCAGTCTTGAGCAAAAACAGTTAAATTACATAACAATTAAAATAAGCACATTAAAGTCCCATTTTGGTTCTTTCAATAATACCTGGGTCTTGGTTGAGAATAATCACATCTGACCAATTTGATACAGAACACACTGATTTGGTGGCATTAATTTTTCCTGAGTCCACAACCAAATAGGTGCAAACCACTACGGCATATCTGCAGGAAAAAAAAAAAAAAAAAGTAATAACAACAACAACAAAAAACAACAACATAGTTTATATATTCTTAATAAATTCCTACATTTCAAAATCCTACGTTTGCAGTGCATTTTTCTTTTACAGTATGCTCTTAGTTTATACTTTGATCTCATATTGGTATAACTTTTGGAGGTTACAGTTTTTTTTCCGTATAATTCTACCACTGAAGACTAGACATTTTGTTTCCCTTATCAATCTAGGTCAAAATAACTGAAGTACATACAAATTGAAGTATAACAAAAACACAATTAATGTGTCCAACTTTCTAGTACAAATATCTTGGTACACTTGAAATAAGACGAGTGTACTTGTCTTATTGCAACACAAACACACACACACAAACACACTTTTCACTAAAACATTGCAGCTCGTTTAGAGCCAACAATTCCTTAATATTGATGAAAAAGTTCTGGTTCTAATTGTAGATTATTTCACTTAAAAAAATGTCTTGTTCTAAATGAAAAAAAATCTGCCAAAGTAACTAATACTTTTTTCATAAATATTAAGCAACTATTGACTTAAAACTAGCCCCTATATCTTGCTGAAATGTTACTTGTATAAACTTAGCTTACGAGTACTTTAAATGTTAATATGGTACGTTTTACTAGAATGTACATTTTAGTCTGTTTATTTTTACTTAAGTACAGTGTTTGAGTACTTTCATCATTGTGTCTTACAAACTAAAGAGTTCAAATACATTAGCAGAAATAAAGAGTGTATTTTCAGTCTATAACTTATTTGTAGTTTGTTTTTGGTAATGAAAACAGATTAAGCATTAAATAAACATTGTCTTTACTCACTTTTCTTTTTCAATATTTAGCTTGACTCAGAGAAAATAAAAATAAAAAATAAATTAACTAATTAATCTAAAATGATCAAGACTGCATAAACTCTACAAAACAATCCTGTAAAACAAATTCCTGGAATCAAATGGTAAATAAAGCAAACTAAAATACAATGCAATTTGACAAAATACGCTATCAGCCAGTAAAGGTGCCAAAGATTTCCGTGTAAAAGGAAATCTTTTTTATTTAAGTGTGGTTCTCTTACCTGTAACTTCCACTTGGATCCAGAGCACCATTAGCATAGCTTTCCCACTTTGATCCATTTCCTATCTCAACGTCCAAGGAAACAGAACTTCTCCTCGTCGTTTTGGTATTGTTCATTATTGTTGCAAGATATGCTTTTGCAGAATTTGCTCTCCAGTCACTGTATGTTTTCTCCATGAAATTTTCAATATTAGGAATGTTGGCTTAAAGGAAACAAAATACACAGAATAATAAGCACTGTAATATTTTTCAAATTTATTTATTACAGGGTTACAGGAGCACATCTTGATGTTAAGAAAACAGAAATAAACCCTACCACTGTCATCGCTTGTTACCAGAACCCCAACATGAGTCACTGGTCCGTTAGAGTCGTTTAACAGGCTGTTGTCAATAAGAAGTGTGAATGTATTGTGGGTTCTAGTAGACACCTGCTTCCCATATTCTGATGGAATGAGAGGCTCTGTATAAAGTTAAAAGAGAGGAATCAAACACCAATGTATCAAACTTAAAGTGAGTAATATTAGCTCAAGATTAAAAATAAATAAATGGAACTAATCCTGCTTCACTAATAAGTGAAGCAGGATTAAATTTGATACCTATTCTTTACATGCAATAATTATTCAAATATTCCGTACAAAATTGAAACAAACTTACTTGTGACACCTGTCTGACATGTTATCCACTGAGGAGTGCTTGGTTTTCCACAACTCAGAGTCTCTACTTTAATCGTAAAATTCTCATGGTAAGTAAGGTTGGGAATAATGTGTCCAGAAACAGTCGCATAAGAAATGGGTACATGAGTAATTGTAGAGGTAGTGCTGGTTACATTAAACATGACTTTAGAGAACTCTCCATTGGGGTTTTTCCATTTCAGAATAATTTTGGCATCTCCAGAGTTTGGTCCAGAACATTCTAAGTTCTTCACAGGACTCGCATCTGTCGAAATGAAGTAGATATAAATATTAGTAAAAAAAAAAAAATGTTATTGGTTAAATGTGTGCAACAATATTTTTATTTCCTTTATTTTTGTTTTTTGTATTCAAAGCACAGAAAACAGAAAAATTCACACAAGATCCAATGTCATGCATATCGGACTGTATAAAAGATGGAATGTTACGAGCATACTTGTGCAGTTGGACATCGTTTCTGTGGCAGATTCTGTTCCATCAGAGGTCTTGGTGATGATGGCGATGTTGTACTCAGTACCAGCTGCCAGTCCAGTGATGTTATGTGAAGTTCCACTAGTTGTGGTGTTCTTAACATAAGTCTTATCGTGGTTTTGCCAGGAGACAAAAAAACTATAGGTGCTCTTATACTCATCAGGATGGGACCAGTTTAAATAGATATGTTCCTCATCAGGATAAAGTCCGAGAGACTTCACGTTGTAAGGTCCTGATGGTTTAATAAACAAGTGAGAAATGTTACTGGTAATCCGGACACTGCAGTGTCTTGCAACAAACAATGTGTTTTAAGTGAATTTTTTCAAAGTAGTGGATAAACAAATGTGGTTTGACCTGGACCATTCAATGGCTTTTTCTTAAAGTTGTTTTCCAGCCAACAGGTTGGACCTACAACCCAATCTCAAGTCATCTGCAGACTCAAAAACATATAATCCAGGATTGCCATGTATTTAGCCCACTTCATCTTCTAATCAACTCAGTAGTTTTCCTGTTCCTGCTAGAAATGTACAATGCCAGTTTTCATTGCAAGTTTATATGCATGTCAAAAATTGCAATGTTGGTCACATTTGACCAGAGCGTCTTCTTTGACATGTTTTCTATAGCCCCTCCTTGTCCATAAAGGCCATATTTTTGCCTTTAACAAATATCCATTGTGTCGAACGATCCTCCCACTTCAGCTTTGAGTCTGTGGAGCTCTTCCAAATTTACCATGGGCCTCATGGCTGCTTCTCTGATTAATACACTTTTAGGTTTACAGTTTAGGTTTACAGCCCTATTTCACTAGATTTGCAGACACCCTCTTTCCATCTTAGAGATCCTTACAGCTCAGAGCATTGTTTTATTGCAACCTAAATCCTCTGCAAATGTCTTCACACTTTTATCCCTGAACCTCTCTGCTGTGTTTCTTGGTCCATATGGTGCTTTTTGGTAACTGATTCACGCTAACATAACAACATAAGAGCTGTTTTTTACCCAGATTATATTCCAAAAATATTATCTTTATTCACTTGTAGGTAATGTCTAATGGCAACCCGCTGAACAAACTTTTATTTAGGAATAAAGGGTGCTAAATACAAATTTAAATCTTATGCTACATTGTGTTGATCTGTAGCATAAAATGAAATACACCAAAGTTTGTGGTTGCAACATATTTTGGAAGGTTTTTTGTTGTTTTTTTTTTTTTTTTTTTTTTTTTTTACAAGACACTGTGAGAGTAATTGATATAGGAGACTTAACGATAAATAAAATAAGATTCTTACTTGTGGTCACGGTTATGTTAACAGGTTCACTCTCAAAATCCATTGGTCCCACAGTTGTCACAGAAATCATGTAAGAAGTCCCAGACAGAAGTTGAGACAAATTGTAAGTTGTTTTGGCAGAAGGGATTTTTACATCTTCCTGAGAGTGAATGTAGGTCAGATTGTAGTGGTAGCTGAATGCATATTCCATATCAGGTGCTTTTCCCCATTCCAGTTCAATAGAACTGGTAGTCTGCATCCGTTTGACAATATTCCCAGGAGGATTTGGGTCTGCAAGGACAGAATTCATCACATGTACAATTAATCGTGTATGCATTTGGAAAGTTTTCCCAAACCCATTGGGGGCTGCGTGGTACTTTTTGTGGCACACCGAGTTTAACTACATATTCAGGGAGTGTCTGAGGGTGAAGTTGATAAGATAGCTAAAATATCCCCCAACAGTGGAGAGTCAATTTGTATTGCCATTACTATTATTTCTATCATTATTATTTCTATTGTTTGTTGTCGTAGTATTTACTATTATTAGTAAGAATTACATAAAGATTATTTTTAAGTATCATCTTGCACTTATTTTAATTGTAGGTAAAAAGAAAAAAACCCCATCAAAACAGACAAAAGTTAATAAGAATAATAATTAGTGATACTCACAAGTGGCACTTGTAACTATTTCAGATGGTTCACTGAACGGTCCACTGTGTGACCTCATCACACCGCTGCACAGCTCTGCAGCGTGCAGGCCGTAAAACTTGAAGGAGGTGTTGTGAAAACTGAGCTCTTCTGTCTTATTTAAACCTGAGGAGCAGTTTAGCAGAAGCTCATATTTCTCCACATTTCCAGGAGGGTTGGTCCACGACACCAGGACTGAATCATTGGATCCCTCATTGCTGATAGTGAGATCAGGCACATTGGGTTCTGTTGATGTGCAGCCATAAAAAATTAAAACAATTCAACAATGATACAAGTTAAAAAAAAAATAATAATAATAATAATAAGGGAAGACAGTAAAAGCCCTACTTGTGTACTGAGTGGTGCAGGTCTCTTTCCCTTCAGTGCCATCCTCTGCCATGACAGTAACACAGAATGTGCAGTTGGTTCCAGAGATGAGATCTGAGAAGGTCACGCTTTCTGCTGATGAGTTGGTATTTTTGTTGCGACAGCCAGTTGTCTCCACCCGATATTGGAAGCCGTTCTTGTACTCGTATGGTTTTGTCCAGTTTAGGTAAACAGCAGTTGTGTTTAAGGTAAAAGCTTTTAAATCTGTGACATTATAAGGCCCTGAAAACAAGACGATAAACTGTTACTTTTTGGAGAAAATAAAAACAAACATATTTGCACAAGTCATTTGTAGCGTGCTCTTACAAGCTACAATGCACTTACTTGTATAGTAGAAAACCTTCACAGACTCTGCTCGAGTGGAGTCTTCTGTTATTGTAGTGACGGTAAAGTTGTATTTTCTCCCAGACGTGAGACCATCAAATGTAAATGTTGTAGTGTTTATCCTTTTCAACCGTGATTCATTAGGGACAACACTTCCAAGCTGCACTTCATAAATGTAGGGTGGTTTGCTGCTTGGCTGATTCCACTTCAGGGTTACTGAACTAGTGGTGATTTCTGTCTCTGTCAGACCCGTCACCGGATTTGGTCCTAAAAAACAGGATAAAAGTGATCAGAGCACATACGTTCATTAAAGTCTTTTTAGGTTCGATCACACATGAGGGAAAATTATAGGAAAACTAACACAAGATCATACATTAGGAAAAGGTTTACACGAAGTATGTCTATAATTTTTTTTTACAAATGTTTTAAAAGTGTTAAAGATTTAGGACTTGAATGTTAAATAATCTCTATTAACAGAACAAATAACAGAATGATCCAACTTCTTTTGTCAATGTATTTTACATTTTTTAAAATGATCAGGTGCAAAAAAGATTCCTCCAAATATATGAAACAGTCACTTAACACAATAATTCAATAATATGAAGTAGAGCTGATTGAATCATTAGTGTAATTTTAAAATTGAATACAACAAAGACAAACTTTATGACAAAACTTGTTGTCATTTTATCCATAGTGATGAGCATGATGAAACTGGCTGTTTCTGTTTACTCACTTGTATAGTTTTGTGTGCTCTCTTCTGTACTCTTATACTTCAGTGCACCAACAGTGACTACAGAAACTGTGTACTTGGATCCTGATTCAAGGTTTTCCATCAGGAACCAGCTGTTCTTTGTATCAGTAGAGGCATTTTTAGTGGACACAGTAAAGTACTGGTCAGGGTCCATATCAGCTGGAAGGGACCAACTAAATCTGATGGAGCTGTTGGTCTGAAAGTCCACCATGATAGAGCCGGGGGGGTTAGGAACTAAGCAGAAGAATAAATCAGGTCACAAACATGTGAAAACCCAATGCATATCCAAATGCAGATAAAAAAAAAAACAAAACAAACAAAATCACTAAATTTAGGAAACTTACAAGTTGCATTGTAAACAACACTTCTGTTGCTCGTCTTAGGTCCACTTTTGGTGACAACCTCAACACGGTAAAGAACTCCTGGTTTCAAATAGTCAAATTTAAACTGTATAGTCTGATTATTCAAATCTGTGTCATTTATCAAGGAATTTGTGTTATTGTATAACTGGACAAGGTATGAGGAAACCTGCCCATATGCTTTTGTCCAGCTCACTGACAAGCTGGAGGTGGTTCCTCTGGCTAAAATGCCTGAGACCTGTGCAGGAACTGGAAGAGAAATGTAGAAACAACAATGAAGATCATTCATAATAATAATAATAATAATAATAATAATAATAATAATAATAAAAAGAATCAAATCTGAACAAGAAATGCATTTTTGCTTGGTCTGCAGGTATTGCTGAGAGAATACATGCATTTAATCTGAACACTTATACAACAGACTGGGTGGGCTAAAAAGTTTGAAGGTTGAAAAACATGGTTAGATTTTGATGATTTCAAATTATCAATAACTATGATCATTTGTCATTTTCAAGAGAGAAAGTACTACAAAAAGAATAGTTGTGTACAATTTTTTCCTCCTTTCACTGTATAATTTGGTTCCCGAGAACAACATTTTTAAGTCGTTTAAAATTTGTCTTTTTCATTTGTTTTTCAGGGATGTGTGAGGGAAAAAAATCAATCAAAAGACCTCCAATACCCTCTTTCAGCTCCATCATCCTCCACTGAATACAAAGTTCTTAACTAATAACTTTAGGGAACTATCGACTAAGATGTCTTAAAAAAAAATACATATATATATATATATATATATATATATAAAAGTCAGGCTCCTTGAAACCAAGATCTGATCAAATAGTTTGCATAAACAATGAAATATTTATCCAAAGTCTTAATATTCTGAAAGCGTGTGTGACATACTTGTATATTCCTTTTTGCTTGCGATTGTTGATTGTACACCTTCATGAACTGTCAACACATTAAATGTGTAAAGGGTTCCAGGAATCAGATTGTTGAAGGAGTAGGTCTCATTAACCGTGGAGTCATTGTGAACTCGCTCACTGCCCCGCCATGCTTCCACCAGATACTTGTAGGAATCCTTGTAATCATTTTGTCTGAGCCATGAGAGCTGGATGGATGTGGTGTTCACAAAGCTCACAGTCAAATTGGTCACTGCTTTGGGCACTGAAGCAAGAATAGCAGAGGGTTACCTTGGATCAAAGGGATGTTATATTTTCAGCATTGAGACAGCATTGATTTTCATATCCTTACTGGTGCAACTGGACACCTCCACAGGGCTTGAGTCGGTGTCTGATGCAACAGTTGTTGTGATGTTGATGGAGTAACAGAAACCTGGCTCCAGGTTGGGAACGTCATAGGTGGTGCTGTTGCTGGTAATCGTGTTAATGAGTGCTCTTGTGGTGCTGTTGTAGGTTTGAACCCGGTACCGGTAATATTCTCGGGCACCCAGCGGTTCTGACCACTGCACCTTTATGGAAGTTGGAGAAATAGGGCTGGCTTTTGCATCCTGCACTGGGTTTGGCACTGAGCATAAGAGAAGAAAGAAAAAAAACAACAAAGAATATATGAAAATCTGAAATAAATATGTAAATAAGGACATTAAGTCTTTTGAAATGACATACAAAAATGCTATATTTCTTCTGCGGCTTTTCTGGTAAAGTCGAACCTCGGGGTAAAGGTAAGTGCTTTAAGCTGTTGTTTCTATGTTTGAGACCCTTATTTTGAAGTACATTCTTGTTCCTTTTGCGGTTTCAGAGTAGGCTAATAAACATAAGCCAATGGCTAAGCTACTAAAACATTACTTAACACTCATCTTGTAAAGTTCTCATCTCAGGATCAGTATATATTATTACACCACAGGTTACAATGCTCTTTGGGTCTGATCACATAAACTTACAGGTGGAAGTATATTGGGTGACTGGCGAGCTACTCAGTTGTTCCGGTCCAACAGTTGTTATATTTATGGTGTAATTGGTTCCAGACTGAAGACCCTCTAACACTATGTCCGTTTTCTCTATATAGCCAATCTTTGACACATTGTCATCTGGATGATTGTAGGTGATATTATAGCTGATATTAGGAGCACCAGCCATCTTTTCTGAAGTCACCCACTGCAGGTGTAAAGAAGAGTTTGTCCTGTTGGTGAAGGTGAAGGATGTGACAGACAACGGATCTAAAAGAGAGAGAAAACACACATACAAACACACACTAATAAGTCTGCATTGAATTACAATGAGATGTCTAATCTGTTTTCTGTACTAAGCTGAGCAACAAATGTTTTATATTCATCAGTTAAATTGCTCAAATGTAGAAAACGTCAGTAGACCTAAATTCTACATTTTAGAGTAGTTAGAAAAACATTATTTTTGTAGTGTATATTATAAAATATACTTCAGTACAATGTTAGCAAAAGAAATTTGTTTACTTAGGTAAAATTCATGTCAATATTTGGTCCTTACTAGTGCCAGAATTACTCAACAAAGATGTTATAATTTGGGGAAAAGTGGAACTTACATGTTGCCAATGAAAACTGATCAGAGGTGTCTGTGAACGTTCCGGCTACAGCAGTCACTGTGAAACTGAAACTCCTTCCAGGAAGTAAACCGGAGAAAGCTGCTGTGGTGGTGGTTGTTTTTGTGAAGCTGGTGTAGTCACTGCTTGTGTCTGAGATGTTCACGATGTAATGGTCAACCCTTCCTTCAGGCAACGTCCACGTGATGCTTATATTGTCACTTGTTCTTGATACAAAAGTGACGTCCACAGGCTTTACAGGCCCTGTTCAGCAAAGTAAATAAATTAGTGAATGATATTCTTAACAGTCCTGATTAATAACAGGACAGATGCAAGCGTCTGTAAAAACAATTTGTCCCTGAGCATATACAAGAGCATCTAAAAACAGCAACCAGAATCTCACTATTTCTTATAGTTACCAAAGACGTAAAAACCTTTCAAAGTCATGATTCACATCAACACAAAAAGCCAGGCTCAGACCTAAAGTCACAGCCAGCAACATCCATAAAGTTGACCTAACTAAAGTATAAGGCAGAGTGAAAAAAGGAGTTCAGATTTTACTGTGACTGAAGAGTTTAATTTACCATAAACATCAATAAAGCTGAGGCAACATCTACTTTAAGGTTAGCTTTCCATATTTACATTTTGGATCATAATTTGGGATCCCTGATTGGTTGGGCCAGGATATTTCACAATTTGCCATTACAGAAACCTCCTTCCACTGTTCAGCTCAAGTCAGTTAAATAACCAATGTCAATATTCAAAAAGGAGTCAAATCAATAATCAATAATTCTCATCCCTGGTCCTCAGGACCCACAGCCCTGCCACACACCTGACTGAAATGAATGGGTGACTGACTGGTTTCTGAAACTCTTGATGTGGTGATGCAATCATTTGAATCAGGTGTGCTGTTGAACACATTACGCATCCAAAACATGACGACCGGTGAGCCCTGAGGACTTAGATTGAGATTCGCTGAGTTAGAAAAGGTAAACAATCTTTTTTTGTTGTTGTTGTTCTTCAGAGTTTTAAGTTCTATAAGGTAAAAACTTTACTTTATTCACAATTTTGCTAAATTATGAACTCAGATATTGATTTACATTATCTGATTTCAATATCTGGATCTTTTTTATTTTTGGATTTCAAAGGGCCAGTACCTTGTTGTAGATATTTTTGCTTCAAAGATTATTCATTCATTTATGTTGAGGTCATCTGCTAGAATCAAATTTATCTGGAATTATACTTGACAAGAAAAACAGGAATATACTGGAAGGAGTATGAGACTTCATTTTACTAAATCTCTCAATAAGTGTCTATATATTTGCACCTTAAAATATCCTTCATATTTTTCTTTCACCTTTTATACTATAAAGTTTCAAACTTTAACTAAAGACAGTCCAGTTGTCATTTCTTGTTCTTGAGTTAGACCAAAGCACAACTTGTATGCAGGTAAAATAATAATGAGGAATATTTAACAATAGGACATTCTACAAATGACAACAGACACCAAGGGAAAAACCAAGGTGCAAAGCAGTTAGAAAAGATTAGGATAATAACAGGCAGAATTACAATGAGGGATATTTATGGATAAAAGAACATGCTAAGAAAATCAGGAGAAACGGGGATGCTGTGGTGGCACAGGGGTAAATCACAACACACATATCAACACGGACGACACACGACAAACCAAAATTACACAAAACAGTGGGATGAAAATGACAGGAAACTAAAGAAATTGGAAAAGTAAATATCCAGCATTATTCAGGTACAAATATATAAAAAACAAAATGACTAAAGAAACTTGAAGTTGAAAGCATTACTGCACTAACTGTTTTTGTACATGTCATTTCTCTCCACAAATTGCAGAACAATGTTACTTGTGGAAAACCCTAAATAATGAATAATCGATCCAGCTACTAGCAAAACAATAAATTCATTATTTCCATCTCAACAAGGTTTTACTTAAAAGTTGCTTGGAGGCAACATTTGCTTATTGTATTCAGTTAATGACTTCACCACCTTACTGCACTTTTTGTAAAAAACGCTTCTATGTTGCATTAAGAAACAACTATCACCACATATATTGCAGGCATACAAAGCCTAAAATACATGAATAATTAAATATTTTCTTGCAATCGAGGCAGTTTTTATTTTTTATTTATTTTTTTTACATACTGTATGCATATTTCATACAGTGATACTAAGCAGAAAATAAACTTGTGGTATATTGTGCAGCCCTATTTTCAGCAGCTACAGTAGAGACATTTTACATTCCCCAACAGCAATGAAATTAGTTAAATTTATGATTACATAAAGTTAAATTGATTTCTCAGTCATAATTCCAGCTGTCCACTGTAGGGAAGTGCTTCCCAATAACAAGAGGACATTGGAGACTTCAGTGACATTAAGATTGTGAATCAACTGAGGTTCTGTGAGTGAGATATATGATCACATTTTCAGAAAAACAAAAGGATGGACAAACATTTTCTGACATTATTTCTTGTTGTAACTGAAAAATCTTGCATCCAACCAAACATATGATTGAGACTCACTTACTTGTGTATTTCGAAGTAGTCCTGTTCTCTCCTTCAGTGACATTATCAGCAGCTACAGCAGTGACAGATATGTTATACTGCTCACCAGCAGTCAGATCAGAAATGGTCAGAAATGTCTCAGACACATTTCTTTCGGAATATTTTTGTCCACCTTCCCATTGAACTCTATAGAAAGAGCTGCTTCCCATTGGTTTGGTCCAGTTCACAAATAGAGATGATGTTGTTACATCAAACACACTGAGATCTGTGACTACTTCAGGCTCTGTGAGTGCAAAAGAAATATATAGGAGGAAGTACTAAAAGCTTAAGCAAAAAATTATGAGCATTTTAAACAATGAAAAGAAAGGAGGAAATGCCTCAAACATAATGATGATTAAATAAAATCATACTCTTAATCTTACTTCTTAAATGACAAATCATTTTCTCATTACTCATTAGTACGTTGCTCCCAAACATGGCTATGACAAAAAAAAAAAACACTAGCTGTCTCCAAGAGTCAGCTCTGTGAAATTTAACTGAATCTCATTTGTTCTACAGGGAGTGGTTTTATTTTTCAAACCTCGTATGTAACCCATCTATTGCCCATTATATAAAGGTTGTTAAGATATGATTGGGAGAATGGACAAATGTCCCTTGACACAATATAATGTAGATAATTCTGAATGTTGCATAAAAGCACCTATTAATATCGTCATGATACATCCATCCATCTATCCGAGGCTCACTTACTTGTGTATTTCGAAGTAGTCCTGTTCTCTCCTTCAGTGACATTATCAGCAGCTACAGCAGTGACAGATATGTTATACTGCTCACCAGCAGTCAGATTAGAAATGGTCAGAAATGTCTCAGACACATTTCTTTCGGAATATTTTTGTCCACCTTCCCATTGAACTCTATAGAAAGAGCTGCTTCCCATTGGTTTGGTCCAGTTCACAAATAGAGATGATGTTGTTACATCAAACACATTGAGATCTGTGACTACTTCAGGCTCTGTGAGCAGAAATCAGTATGTTGCAAACATTTGAAAACCAAAG